AGCCTTTAGAATTATACGAATAATGACAAAAGGGAAAAAATTCTTTACCAAGGCGTTTCGTGATATGATGGACATTAAATTTACCTTGATAAACTCCATCAGAAGAACGAAACGAGTTGGTCAATGAAAGTTTTCTTTTTTTCTTTAAACTCATATATATATATATATATATATATATATATATATATATATATATCAAGAATTAGTGGATTTATGTTTAATCCGATATTTGTATTATTTCAATTATTTCATTTTAGTAGATAAGCGTTTTTGAAATGAACTTCACGTTTTTATTTTAAGGAGTGTGCATTACATCTTTCGGCCAGCGTACTCGAGAAAACTTAATAAAGAAAATTTTAATAGAGAGAATACTCTGCCGTTTTCTCGATATATATATACATATATATATATATATATATATATATATATATATATATTATAATTAATTTAAAAAATTTCCCAAAACATTTTTCCTTTCAAATTTTCTTAATTAATTGTATTGCTCTTTATAATTTGTTATTATACTCATTTTTAAGATCTCCTCAGGATTATCCACGTAACTAAAGATTTTTATATATATATATATATATATATATATATATATATATATATATATATATATATATATATTTAAAAGGGCTCTGTGAAATAAATTATTATAATGGAATCTTAAAGTGGTCTGTTTTTCTTTAAATATATATATATATATATATATATATATATATATATATATTAAATATATTTGATTTAGCGTGTGCTGTTTATTTTGTATCTATTATTCTTCAAAATAAACATCACACACGGAGGTTTAAGTCTTTCCTAGTTTTGGGTGCTGTATTTTCCACTAATATTTGTTGTATGTTGATAGTTGTCTGTGTATTGAGTTCTCACATGTGACACGATAAAGTATGGTGCGCATACACACACACACACACACACACACACACACACACACACACACACAGGTAGGTAGATAGATAGATAGATAGATAGATAGATAGATAGATAGATAGATAGATAGATAGATATCATGTTGTTTTTTATTCAGATGTCCAGTACTTAAGTGTGTGCATATGCATTTATATGCATGTATATGTATCTCTGTCTATAATTTATACTATCTATCTATCTATCTATCTATCTATCTATCTATCTCTATCTCTCTCTGTATATATATATATATATATATATATATATATATATATATATATGCACTCACACACATACATTTATATATAAAATTTATAATAATATATATATAACTTATAATAATGTATATAAGTAGGAAGAATTCATTGAATTCATATTAAATTCAACCGACAATGCCTTTTTAATTATTTTTCCATTTGTAAAATAATTTGTTCCATATCTCCACAAAATTTATGTTAAATGAAACAAAGTTGAACTGTTTCTCCACGAATTGTATGACACATTATTCTTAAATTATCAAAAATATCATAACAAATGAAACTGACTATTATTCTAGATTTTATTTAATATATCTTAATATATATAGAGTTCAAAAGTTCAATGCAACCCCTGGTCATTTTTTAAAATTCGCCCAAAATGTAGATGTATTGTACTTTTAATAAGAGGAAATTATTGTACATTGTTAAAAAAAAAAAAAAATGGGGATATGATTTTTTTTTTTTAATAGGAATTTTATTATAACAAAATAAAAAAAAAAAAAGCATTTTATGATTAAATTTCGCTGTCGTCAAAATATCCTTCTTTAGCCTCGATTACTGCAGCACAATCTTTCGGCATTCATTGTAAAAGTTTCTCAAAGTATAAGTTTCATAATAGATTCCATTTTTTTTTTTTCAATGATTCTAAGACCTCTTTCTCATTTTATTTATTTATTTATTTTTTTCACTCTTCTGTCAAGTTCATCCTAGACTAATTCTAGGGATTTCTTCGAACTTATGACCCGTAGTGTATATATAAATGACTGATAAAGTAAAGATTTTAATTATCATCGGAAAGAGAGAATTTAAATTTCTAGGGCACATAATGAGAAAAGAGGGCTTGGAAAATACATACTCACAGGGCAGACTGAAGGCAAAGAGGGAAAACAGCTGATAACCTACCTAACGAGATTGTGTAAATGGTTGGAAGAACAGGGATTAGGAGAGATAGAAAAACGAAAAAAAGTTACTAAGAGCTAGAAAGAGAGGAAATTGGGGAGAGCTATGATCGTCTACGCCCCGAAAGGAAACGGGAGATTAAAGAAGAAAAATACGAAGAGATTGTTCCCGAGCAAGAAAAACATGGATACAAAACTTTCCAGAATTAGTGTGTCAGTCATTTTAATGATAAATATACCTGATACCTCATACTATATTTGATACCTCAAATGCAGACACACACACACACACACACATATATATATATATATATATATATATATATATATATATATATATATATATATATATATATATATATATATTTCATTGAAAACGGCCGACAAGGAAGATTTAATTTATTTTCAGTTTTTCATGGTTTTTTTCAGGACTTTAACCCTGAAAACGGGGAAAATTTGAAATTGCTGGAAAAAACTTAGTAAGATATTAATTAAACCTTTCTTGGCTGAAGTTTTTAATGAAAGATTCACAAATGAAAGGTTGATACTCAAATACACATCAATATATATATATATATATATATATATATATATATATATATATATATATATATATATATATATATATATATTGATGCACATAGACGAAGATGAAATACACACCGTTATATATAAATATATATATATACAGACACACATACATACATATATATATATATGTTTTTATATATATATATATATATATAATGATGCACATACAAGAAGATGAAATGCATGCCGTTATATATATATATATATATATATACATATTTATGTGTGTGGGTGGGGTGTACATTTTAGTTCTTTGTGTTTCTCAGTTATGCAGTGATGTAAGATTCTGACATGCAGTTATGTAAGGCCGGAAATACACGCCGATATATATATATATATATATATATATATATATATATATATATCAGTTTGGTTACGAATGTCTGTACATTTTAGTTTTTCGTAGAACTCAGATAACGCAGCTATATATTGTTAAACAATAACAATAAAAGAAAATTTTACGACATTGAAATATTTTCAGCTGATGACAAAATTACCCAGGTGGAAAGGACGAATGGCAAAAGAAGAAATAATATATGTATACATTTTGACTCACCGTTTGTAATCGGCGTTCGGTCCTGACGGCGTGTAAAACCATCGCGTTTCCAACGAAGGTGAGCAGACAGAGAATGGAAAGAACAACTCCAAGTGGGATATCTCTCCATAAATCGTACTCCAAGACATAAAAAGTTTCGCCAGTAACATTGGCACCGCCGAAATTAGCGAGTCGCAACTCGTATCCAAGGTTGAATGGATCCACATATGGGAATGGGTACTCCGATGTCGTTTCGTTTGGGAACGTGTCTGTGTCACTCGAGTTGACGAAAGCCATGTCCTCAACGAGAGGGCTCGATTCTCGGTACACAAACGGGTTATAAGAGATGTAAGGTCCGAAAATATTTGCAGACGCTTCGCCGGCGACAGAATTGATGGTCCCGCCAGCGTCCAGATCAGTGTCGCCGTCGTTGGCGGGCTCGGACACCGCGGCCGAACCCGTGCTGTTTGGCGAACCCACCTGCGGATTGCCGACCCCATAGTCGCTCCGATTGCTCTCGGCCCGAAACGATAATATTCCCGTAATGCTGGACGTCGTTTTGGCTTATCGATCCTTTTTCTCACTCCGTCCGATGGTCCCCGAGGAAGGACGGTAGAAATTTGAAGGTGGGTATTGGTTGCGTGACGGATTGTCCTTTGTCCGGTTCGGAAGAAGGTAAAAAGAAGTATAAAAATCCAAAATCGATCAGGAAGACAAAATGAAAGAATACATACACTTGAAACAGCTTAATAATAATAATAATAATAATAATAATAATAATAATAATAATAATAGACCTAAGGTCGTATTAATTCCTTATCTTTAAAATCCATCTCTTGATACAAGAGCTCAAATAATTTCGAAGTTACGTTTTAAATTTCGAGGCTGATAAGAAAATAATACTTTTTTCTTTCTTCAAACGCCTATTTATTTTCTTTTTCCTTTTGTCTGTTTCCCGTTTTGCTATGAAAAAAAGCGGCCACCAAAAATGTGAAGAAACCACAATTAGAAAAAATGCTGACAATATTTGATAGAAAAAATGATATTGATGTTTACCGTATACAAATAGTATCGACAAAGAGAATTAAAAAACAAAACAAATTCAGTTATCTCTTTTACAACTTTAGTCCTTTCTTTCTTTCTTTCTTTCTTTCTTTATCTTTGTTTGCTTGCTTCCTTTGTTTCTTTCTTTCTTTCTTTCTTTCTTTATTTATTTATTTTTTTCTTTCTTTCTTTTTTATTCTTTTTTGTAATTTTTTCGTGATATTACCGGGAATATATCGGAGCGTGGGGTGAGCGTCCCGGATCCACGCGTCTGTCTTTCACAAAGATGTAGAAATTAAATAAAATAATATCAACCGTGTGTAAGTTTTAACTTCATTGAAAAAAAAAAATTAGAAACGAAACTGCTACATCCAAATCGTGGTCGGAAAACTGTGTCAAACTTGTTAACGTTTTATTTTTTTATTTTTTTAAGCTGTCGTCTCGGGTTCAATTCTAACAAGGTACTGACAGGACATTGAGGCTACTCGTAAAATCCCAAGCAACGTAGAGGTTAAATATTATTTTTCTATATAAATATAATATACAAAATATATATTGAATATATATATATATATATATTGATAAGATCGGAATGTGTTTGAGGTTTTTTTTTTTTTTTTTTTTTAATTACTTCAGTTATCCAAGATATTTGTAAATAAATGTTCATCTATTCTTTAAGTAGTTGGAACAGTTTAGCTTGTGTTTATGAATGTTTCCTTCTTTCGGTATTTTTTCTTCCTTTTTTTAATTAATAGATAGATAGATAGATAGATAGATAGATAGATAGATAGATTTATCCACTACAGCAACGACACAAAGATTTCTAAGGAAGTGCAGCAGGCACAGCTGCTGATACTGCTGTTGTTCCAACCCTGGAAGTTACAAACGTGATTGCAGTCGTCGCCGCAGTGACTCGCACCGGCCTACCTTGTTTTGGTAACAACAGTCGCGGAGTTTTCCGTGCTAGCCTCGTGGTTAGAAAACTGAGGTCATGGTCGCTAGGTATGCGGTTCAATGCCAATAAGGTCAATGAATAAAACTGCCTAACCATGACCATTTCGACTCTGCGTATCGTCTGGAAGTTGATTTAATAAAACCTTGCAAATCCAACGGCTTCGAATGCGTTTAATAATTAAAGACACTGATTTTGCTGATTGGAATTTCTTGACGATGGTGGTGGTGGTGATCGCCGTCGTCGTCGTTATGGTACTGGAGGTGAAATGATAGATTGATTTATATTCATTAACTACTTGTGGGTTATTTAAGCCGGAACATATTGAATAGAAATAATAATTGTTTTACTATTTACATTGCTCGGACTATCATCCTCATCTTTGTTGCCATATTTATCACAACTTTTCAGCCGTTGTACACTCCGGCCTTCTTCTGGCGGTTGGAATGTCGAACTGAAATATATACAGATACCAATAATTGTTTTGGGGTTGTGTGTGTGCGTGTGTGTTTGTGTGTGTGTGTGTGTGCGTGCGCGGGCGCGCGTTTGAATGAATCCTGTATTAAAATTTTTGTGAACACAACAATCATTTTTTCCAGTTACATGTCCTACTATTTAACCCATAACTGGGAGAGGTGGATTCATACCATTCCCAGGCATGTTTGCACGTAAGTGAACTTGACCGTAATTCGAACTCGATTCTTCGATTTCTCACTTCCAACCGCTATCCATTAATAAGAGAAGTCAGGGTAGAGTAATGGACAGCGGCTCGGACTGAGGAACCGGAGAGCCGTATTCGAATTCGAGTCGAGTTCACTTACGCATTCACTTACGCGCTTATACCTTTGGTGTGAATACATCACTTCTCCCACCAGATATGAGTAAATAGCAGGACAGACTGGGTCTTGTAGCCTTGGTTGGCAGCTAGTCTAGGAGAACGAAAAATTATATCAGCTTGAATGGAGAGGGTTGGAATCTTCCAGGTTGTCTTGCTCAGGAAAAAGACCCTGTTGAGATGATCCTGGTGGGTTAGGGAACACGTGAAAATCAGTTATTAATGGTGATGAATGAAGTATCAAAAATATCAGAACTTGAAAAAGATTTGAAAGAAGAAGGAATGAAATATAATCGATAAAAGAAAAAAGAAACTTAAAAAATAATTTAGTAGACGGCAGAAGGGTTTGTGGGTTTCGTTTTCTTTGTAACGTCTTTTATTTTTTTTAATCTTTGAGTGGGACAAACGGCGCAATCTACATAAGAATTTGTGCCATTGTACATTTCTTCTTTTTTTTTTTTTTTTTTCGGGCGGAACATCCTGACGATTTGGCTAGTCTGCTAAAGTTTACACCGATTCACCATCTCCAGACCAGGAAATAGAGCCTCGTCTTTTTTTTTCCTTCTCCCATAGCTAGTGGTGTCGCTAGATAGATTAATACCTTTTCTCAAAGTGAAAAGTGAGAATAACGGATTCGTCCTGAATTCGAACTCGACACGCTGATTTCACTTCCTGAGCCTCTAACGCTTACACTATAAAGACACCTACACCTACCGCAAGGAAAGTTGGTTCTCTGTGTCGCGCCAGAAGGTTTTTCTCGCCTGGGTCCATCCTTCATATCTACAAATCAAACATTCGTACTTGGATTGAATACTGTTGCCATACAAAACTAACCTGGCCGTGCGTCTTGAAATGAACCTCCAATCGGTTGTTAACTGGGGCAAGAATTGGCTGGTCAACTTTAACGCCACAAAAACTAAATTACTCTCCATTAACCACCATAGAGATCCTTCCCTGCCCACCATTAAAATGTCTGATAGTCAACTTCCTGAGAGCAACTCCCTGCGTCTGCTCGGTCTCACGCTGACTGCTGACCTGAGATTGAACAAATACATTGAGTCAATTGCTTCTTCCACCGCGAGGAAAGTTGGCTCTCTGTGCCGCGCCAGGAAATTTTTCTCCCCTGAATTGATACTTCAAATATACAAAACAACCATTCGCCCTTGCATGGAGTATTGCTGCCATATATGGGCTGGAGCACCTTCTGCTTACCTCGGAGTTCTTGACAAGATCCAGAGAAGGATATGTAATCTAATTGGCCCTGATCTAGCGTCTTGCTTGCAGTCACTCTCTCACAGACGAGCCGTCGCCTCTCTCTGTCTTTTCTACAAATACTTCCATGGTAACTGCTCTGATGAGCTGCTCTCTCTGGTTCCCAGATTCCATGAATTCAAGCGCCCTACGAGGCTGGCATCCCGCTCTCACCCTTACACCGTAGAAACCTTCAAATGTAGCCGTCTCTTCTAGTCCAATAGCTTCATACCTCGCACCTCTCGCCAGTGGAACACCCTCCCCAATTACTGTTTCCCTGAAAGCTATAATCTCCAACTATTCAAATGTAATGTCAATCGACATCTCCAATTACCTTGATCTACCCACTATCCTTCTCCTCTTCCTTTCTCCTATCACTCTTATCTGCTCTCGCTCCAAATCTTCCGCAACCCCCTGCATCCTAGTGGCTTCACGCCTTGCTTAAAATGCTTAAAAAAAAAAAAAAAAAATATATGGTCAGGTGCCCCCACTGTTCACCCCGAAGTTCCCGACAAAATCCAAAGACGGATATGCAATGTGATAGGTCCTGACCTGGTATCTCGACTCCAGTCGTGATGTGGCTTCCTTCTGTCTTTTCTACAAATATTTCCATGGCAACTGCTCTGACGAGCTATATTCACTGGTGTCCCAACTGAATGAATTTAAGCGCGCTACTACGTTGACATCTTGGTTCCACCCTTTTAGTGTAGAAACAGTTAAATATAGCCGCCACTTCTACTCCAACAGCTTCGCCTCTCGCACTTCCCAACAGTGGAACTCCCTTCCCGTTACTTGCTTCCTTGATAACGATAATCTTCAAAACATTAAATGTAATGTCAATCGACATCTTCTAATGCATTGATCTTGATCCCCGTTCTTCTATTTATCCTTTCCTTAAACATCTTTCTTTACTTATATTTTTACTCTCTGTAACGCCTTGCGTCTTAGTGGCACTCTCGCTTTGCTTGAGGTGAAATGCTTTAAAAAAATCCACTATTTCGACTTTAAGAAATCTGAATTTTAATGAATAAAAGTTTAAATGTTTGCGATTTTCTTACGAGTCTTCAATTTATTGTTATTTTTTTTAGAACCTAGAATTCATATTTAAAAGCACGTTCCGAACTTTTACTGTTTATTGTTTGTTATTTCAGTGAGTTTTTCTCAATTCGCCTATAATATTTGAATCAGTAAACAGCGACAAAAATCGGATGGAGGCCTTTGTATATTTAAACCGTGATATACTTACACACTCTTATATTTACAGCCATGGATAAGCGCGAACCGCCCGAGAGAGATTGTGGTGGGGGTGTCGGCGCGTGGATGTGTGTTCCTATGCGTCTGAGCGCCAGTGTATGTGTCTACGTTAGTGTATTTAAGTATGTGTATGGGAGTGTACGTCTATCTGTATGTGTGTGTGCGCGTACGCGCGCAGTTCCGCAAAGTGCACCCCACGTGGTTATTTAGCTGCCGCCATCAAACTTGTGTATGGGTGCAGGATTGCTCAGGTTGTGAATGCCTAATGGGCGAATCGAAAAAAGAAGATCAAGAAAGTTACAGGGTCGCTGATGAAGGGCCCCATCCATCGATTTTCAGGAGTTGGCGGCGAAATTGAAATAAATTGGTGTGATGCGGCCAAGATTTTTAAATATATATATATATATATATATATATATATATATATATATATATATATATATATATTAAAAAATACACAGGAAGAAGATAGAGGTGTGTTGGTATAGTTATTATAAAACAGGGCAATACGAATAAGCCAAATGTGTAAGAATATTTTTAAGAAAGTGTGTGGAGAGATCAGAGAAAAAGAGGGGAGGTATATCTGAAGTGAAGAGACCCGTTACCAAATGTTGATCGGGAAGAGGAAGGTAAAAGAAACAAAAAAAAAAAACTTTTATTATAGTTTTTTTATGAATCAAAACAATTTTTCTTCATTTTTCTATAACAACAACAACAACAACAAAACAGCAACAATAACAACAACAAATAAATTGGTTCGATGAGGACATGATTTACATATATATATATATATATATATATATATATATATATATATATCAAGTATTTGTTGCAGTTCAATTTATATTACATGAATCATTCATACATAAAACATTAACTTATTAACTTCTGTATCTGTTTTATGTATGAATGATTCAATATATATATATATATATATATATATATATATATATATATATATATGTATGTATGTATGTATATATATACATTAAAAATAAAGAAGAAGATGGAGATGTGTTGATAGAGTTATTATAAAACAAGTTAATACGAATAAGCAAAATATGTAAAAACATTTTTAAAAATGTGGTGTTGAGAGGAAAGAAAAAAAAGAGAGGGGAATATCTGAAGTGGGAAGATCTGATACCAACTGTCGATCGAGAAGAGGAAGATAAAAGAAACAAAAAAATCTATTATTATAGTTTTATTATAAATCAAAAGAATGTTTCTTCATTTTCTATAACAATAATAACAACAACAAAAGAACAACAACAACAACAGCAATAATAATAATGATGGTAATAGTAATGACTACAACAGCAAATAAAGAGAAGAAAAAACTGACGCTGGAAGCGACAACAGACTCAGAAATGTAAATAAATGAATAAAAACGAGATATGGAATTAACATAAAGGAAACAAACGAGCAAAAAGCGACAAGGGAAGTTTATCGGAGAATTTATGATGATTTTAGTAATAGTTCTACACAACGGCCTCACGCATGCCGATACTACTGCTGCCTACCTCGGCTGCAGGTAGCCGGGCTAAAAAGCAAACGAACACGAGAATTTACTACGACGACGAGTATAACGAAACTGAATGTGAAAGCGAAAGTGAAAGTAGACACTTTCGTCGGTAAGAAATCTGGGAAAAGAGAACGTGGATTCGTGAGCGGTGGAAGGGGGAGACACGTCTAGTTATATACGATAATGCATTGCGGTTTGAAAGACAGGGATTGGGAACGGTACATGGGAAACCACTGATGTGGTATTGGAGGTTAGAATCGACAAAGGGTGGAAAGCTGCGGTGGCATATTTAGAGCAGTGTGTGATTCGGGTAGATGACAGAAGGTAAGGTTTCGTTCGTGGCGTCGATAAGAAACCAAAAAAAAAAAAAGAATGTATGAAGTTATTGTTATGAAAGAGTTGATGACTCGGGCGGAATAAGATTAGATTTCGAACGATGTTACAAAGAAAGAAAGAAAGAAAGAAAGAATGGCTGAGTGGTAAAGAGAGAGAAAAGCAGAAAAGATACAACGGATAGCATGTAAATAAAGATATATTTTTATAGCCATAAGAAACTAAGTAAGACAAAGACATGCGATGTAAAAAAAAGCAACAAAAGGTCAAATAGTGAAAAAGGAGATGTTGATAAATGCGAAGAGTGAGGAGAAAGACAAGAGTGTTTTAAATTACACTACGGGGGTATCGTGTATTTTGCAAGGGCACGCATTACGTTTTTAGAAGAAGATCGCTTCCTATCAATTTCCCAGCAAAGTTCACGCAAGCTTTAAAAACTCATTGCTGCGAAGTTTGGTGTCGATCAACAAAGGTTGATTCATTCTTTTGATGAATCAGTGGTAAACTTGGAATTGGCGTACTTAAATAGAAATCATCCCATTTTATGATGATACCTCACTCTAATATTTACTGATACAACAATATGTATTACGAGAAACCGTTGCCTCAATGTTTAAATGAAACAAGGATATAAGATTTTTGATGCCACGTTCCCTCAAGATGTGGGCGATCATGACTCCCCAGCCGTTCCATTTCTTAATTATCTCTGAATAGCTATGACTTGTTGGGAAAGATATTGGGGTAGTTCCTCTTTGCTTTCTCTATGGTTTGAATTTATACAAAGCCCTCTTAAACTGGTTTCGTTTGCGTGGTAACCAGTCTTAGAGAAGACTTAATTAATTAAGACTTAGAGAAGACAGTCTTAGAGAGACTGTTTTCAACTGGTGACGACTGATGCAAAAATCTATTAATCTTGGACAATTTTAATCAATAAACCCCCGCATTAACTTTTATAAAATTTAATATTATTTTAGATTCGTGATCTAGAGTACTTAATAAAAAAATGAAAAAAATGATTCTTTCTAGCCGAAGTACCTTTTATAAAACTACACTCGATCGACTATTGAAAATCGAAGTTGATTTCTTTGATAAAATTTATTCCTTCTTTCAAATTCTAAAATGTTTACCTGGATAGCTAATTCTTGTAACTTGGCCAACTTTCTTTTTTTTTCTTATTTCCACAGCTACTGGAGAAAATAGCTTTGAAAAAATATATATGATATTTCTGTTCAAATTGAACCCAAAAAAGACTTAAATGTATAAAACAGTTATATAAATAAGGCAAAGTGGGTATCCATATATCTAGCATAAAATCTAGGCCTGTTTTTTGGACTTATGTGGAAAACCTTCATTTCCAAAATACAATGAAACAAGTTTCGCCATCCTGGTATGATAAAAGACCATTTTTTAAGTGCTCGTTTTGGACAACAAGACATTCATCTCGCACATCCCCAGCTTCGAGCCCCGCGCACTCAGGACCAATGAGGGGTGTGCACTAGTGCTATTTTGTGTTCAATGAGGAACTCTGCCAGAGGACTGTCCCGCCTCGCATCCTCTGCATCACCATCGTATCCGCTGGTTCCGTCACGTCCTGCGACGACCTGATGACCACACTACCAGTCATTAACCAGCTCGACCCGCAGTCTACAGACTGGAGACGACCTCGGTTGGAAGCACGTAGGATTAAGCTGGTGCTGGTGGGGGTTCTGCCAAGACCATAGAAACTGGAGGGACAAGATGGCAATCATAGGCTCAAAGCTGCGACTTGAGGGCAAACAGTTGTTTTTCATTGTTCGAAAACTTTCATTTTACTTTGCCATCTCTTTCATATTACATAGCTCATCAATCATTACCGTCTCAACAGTACCCCTCTATATACAGTGTCTCTTGAGCTATGTAAGTTTACGGCAATATCATGTTGAGTCATCTGTTCTCACACGGTCATCAAAATTAAGCAACGTCGAGCTTGGCCAGTACCTAGATGGGTGACTACTTGGGAATATCAGGCTCTGTAAGCTTGGATGTGCAGGTGATATAATGGATAACGGCTCGGAATTTTTAATCGGAGGCCGAGTTCCAATTCCAGTTGGGTTCGTTATATTCACTTTCGCACAAATTTCCCTTGGGAAAGGTATGAACCCACCACTTCTCTCTCCAGCTATGGGTTAATTACTAAGACTTGTAAAGTTAAAAAACATTATTATCTCCAAAAAGATTCTTACAATCTAAAAAATATTCCCTTGCTTTACATAACCTGCAAAAATTTTGAGAAAACGAATCAATCGATCATATATTCACTTACGCACAAAAACTCTTGGGGACAGTATGAATGCATTTCTTCTCGCTCCCCAGTTATGGGTTAATTAGTGGAAGATATATCAGCAAAAATCATTATTATCTCCAAAAAGTTCTTATAATTTAAAAATATTTTCTGACTTTAAACAACCTGCAAAAGGTTGATAAGCCGTAAAAAAGCAATTAACCAATCGAGCCATGTATTGTTGAACTTTAGTATAGACAGAAAGATAATAAGTAAAGCGATATTCAATCCTATAATAAGATATTATATAACCAGCAAACAAAACATTGTCACAAAACGGTAATTACAGAGTTGGCTGAAGCCATTACAGACATCAGTCGGTTTCAAATGAACAATGGACGTTCTTGTCACATTTGATCTGACCTGTCTGCATTTAGCGACGGTGAAACATATCGGGTGTAACAGCAAAATTGTCCATCCCACAAAATGTTTAATATCTGGAAAAAAAAAAAAAAAAAAAAAAAAACCGCTAAACTAATTGAGTTTCTTTTTTTTAAGGTTCTCAGATACGACGTTTAGCCATCTTGATACTACATTTTATAAGAATCACTGAAAAACTCTAAAACAAAAAAACAAAACAAAAAAAATTGCTAGACAGTCCAGTGTGCCTTGTCATTTAACCCAAGCTGGTCTCGACGAATACATGGATTCATGCGCTTTCCGAGTCAAAGTGCCAAAGTGAATGCAATGAACTCGACCGCAATTTCATCTCCGATCGCCGGTTTCTGTTTCCGAGACGCTAACGTAACAATGTGTGCGTATATATATATATATATATATATATATATATATATATATATATATGTGTGTGTGTGTGTGTGTGTGTGTTGTTTATAAGTGTTGCTGATTATGGGGATGGGGAATATACGCATTTCGCATCACTTCGATAATTCCTGTCCATTGTTTTTATTCAGGAGATTTAGCCAAATGAACGTAAATTGAGAAGTACCGGCTCGATTTAAATTATTCCCTTCCCGGCACCCCACCTTCTCCAACATCCAGCACACGCTTATTTGACACGGCTCGCTTATCAATTTTCAAATTCATTTTTCCCGTGGCTCAAACTATATTCTCCCGGTAATCTTTGACTTCCGGCGGAACGTTTATTTGAATCGACTTGCTTTTGCTATAAATTGAAAAGTATACACCGGCATGATTATTCCAAATTTTCCTGCTCCGTGACTGTCATATGAGGATCTCCCATGTGTCATAAAGATCAAGATTCGGAATCGTTGTTTTTACCAGAATTGAACTCTAAAAAGCCAATGCGGTGGACACAACTATTTCAACCACCAAGCAGTCATTCATCTTTTCTGTTTATTAAATGTAGATCAAGGAAAATGAAAAAGAAAAAAGCCAAAGATTACAAAAACACCAACCAACAAGGCATAGATTATTATTTTCGTGACGCGATTTTAGCCTGTGGTGCCTCTGTAAACGTGTGTGGTTGAAAGCTGTATAACGAAGCATTGTCTACGACACATTTACTTTCACGTTGGAACTTGAATTTTCACCCACACTCGCATATAAGTGCTATGCGTACAGCCAAAACCACAGTTCCACACAGGTACGTATTAGAAATTTATCGAATTTTGTGCGTTTGGGATAGGCTTTGTATCTAACTATATTACTTTTCTAGCACACCTACGGACGATAATGGGTATGTCCTCATTCACATAAATACAGTAGTAAATACCGTAATTTGGTAGACGGTGGGGGATTCGTCTCCAGCTGTGCTGGTCAAACTCTCTACCTCCGGGTAGAGAGGATCCTCCGTCGAGGATATATAGAATGGCAGAGTCTCGTCTCGGGAAATAGCTACCCGACCACGTATTATACGTGGTTTACGTGGAATTTTTGGCCGAGCCTACGGGCTCGGATGCTCAACATTAAATTCAGCCTTGTGCTATATCTGACAGCGTTGGGTAAGGGGTTAGTAGATATCCTACAGTCGGAGAATCGTCTCCAGCTGTGCTTGTCAAACTCTGTCTCTGGGTAGAGAGGATCCCTAGTCGAGGATATATCTAAGGGTAGAATCTCGTTTCGGGAAACAACTACCCGATCTCGTATTATACGTGGTGTACGGGAAATTTTTGGCCGAGCCTACGAGCTCGGATGCCCAACATTAAATTCGGCCTTGTGCCATATCTGACCGCGTGGGGCCGTTAGTAGATATCCTGCAGTCGGAGATTTGTCTCCAACTGTGTTTGTCAAACTCTCTGTCTCCGGGAAGAGAGGATCCCCAAACGAAGCTATTTCGAAGGGCAGAGTCTCGTTTCGTGAAACAGCTACCCGACTTCGTTTTATACGATGTCTACAGGGAATTTTTGGCCGAGCATACGGACTTGTATACTACACTTTAAATTCGGCCTTGTGCCACATCTGACCACGTGGAGCGGTTGGGAGATATCCTTCAGTTGGAGATTCATCGTGGAATTCTCTTGACTCCCTTCTAGCAGTTGACTACTTCTACGCACCGCTGGAGAATCTTATACGTGCTGTTCTTTTCCTAAGTATTATTGTTTATTACCATCCTTCGTTTACTTATTCTATTCAGTAACCTTCCCTAAGTTACAAAAATTACCTTGAGCATTGCAAGGGAAAATAAACCATTGTAATTTACAGGCAGTCGAAAGTATCGTCAATCGCGTGATTTGTTTTTTTTTCGGGGGGGGGGGTCTCCCAGCCTCCGCAAATACGAAGCCCTTCTACTAAAAAGTGCTTTCCGTTGAACACTCCCAACTATTTTATTTATAACTTTCAATGAGTAATTCTATTTTATGAACGCCATCACGACTGCAAATTATTCCTGATAATAAATGGCAAATTCTTTCCACTCATTTTGACCCGACTTGCAGAGTCTCCATTACGTTATTATTTATGTATGGTTACTGAACGTCATTGTTGCATAAAAGGATTA